TTCAGTTCACGTTCGCCCAAAATATGAACGAGTTCATGAACTTTTGTTCAATGAACGCGTTCAGGCACAACACTGAGTACAACGTTAAGTAGCTTCTGATGTAGTTAAGCTACTGTTAACACATTAAAGGAAAGACCAAGGCCTGATTTGGCTTTCTTCCTCCGAATCCGCTTGGACACCAACCCCCACCCCGGACAAACTCCCACGGACCTCAAGTATGTGTTGTCATTCATCCTCTCATTATCAAACTACCTCGGATTCAGCTGACTTTTGTCTCATTCCGAGACGCTGTCTATTCTTCACGGTTCTTGGCAAACAATCAAGCATGTTAGTGAACTCACTTGCTGCTCAAATAAAGAAACTATTAATCTTCCCTCGAATCCTGTTTCTTCTGTATGTGGGCCAAAAAGATCCCGTCGGTCATGTCACTTACTCCTGGCTCCTCCGAAATAAAACTAGCAATCGACCCATTTGTTAGTCATCCATGTCTGGAAAGAAAAACCAAATAACTATTGATAACTATTTATTTGAAATGTGATTCAAATAAAAATGCTCGCTCTTTCACTTTAAAGGTAGAGCTATTTCCTGTAATGCTGTAATGTAAGAGTGAAAATATGATAAACGTACAAATTTGCTGGAGAAAAATAATATAAAGCTTAAATTTGACACACTTAATAATGTCAGTATGGTGGTAACTTTTAATGGTGACTTTTAATACTGATAGTGTTAAAAAAAAAGTTACTGAAGCATTAACAATTAAATGGTGAGGAGCCTTCTGACCATCCTGTGTGTTGTAAAGGTTCTCATACTGGTCCTCATTGTCAGATGTTTCAAGACAAACTTGCCCCTACTTCCTCACCGCCTTAGCCGTATCTACACCCATGGCTAGTTAATGATTCTCTTGCGTTGTGGCATGGATTTTAGTGCAGCCCGTGCCTAAAAATTGAGCATAAATCAAAATTGTCTGCATCAAGCTTACTGCGACACACTGCTGCGGGGAGTATAACCAGCACTTAACACTTCATCCATGGCATTGGAGAATTTCCATATTTTTCTTCCTCTCCCTGATCTGTTGTTGTGGTCATCAACCTTCTTGTTTAGAATTCTAAGTTTCTTTAATTTCTCCCGGCACTGTTTTCAGTCTCGGTCGTACCTTACTTTCATTTCTTCGTAAATCTTAAAAGGATAGTTCGGTATTTTTGACATGAATCTGTATGGCATCCCCGTTACCAGCGGCATGCAATCACACTGACTTACCCCTGGCAGCGTCCTGTGAGCAGAGTTATCGTCCAGTTTTGGTCAAGCCAAAAGTAGTCCGGCAGGTT